TTCGAATCTCCTCCAGCTGGGTACGCATCTCCTGCTGCGACTTCTCCATGGCGGCCTGCGCAGCACGCAGGGAGTGGAGTTCGCCTTGCACTTGAAGCTCGGCTTGTTCTTGCTTGGTGGCAACAGCTTTGACGAGATTGGACGTGTGGGTAGTGATGCCGCCAACCATGGCGGTCCGAGCAGCAGCGAACTTGGCATCGATGGTGGAGGTGGCCTCCGCCTTGAAGGCAGCCAGCAGCTCGTCGATGGAGTTGGATGCAGAGGTTGCCGCCGACAGAGGTCCCTCACGCTGGGCAGGTCTGCCGCGCGAGGGAGGTGTAACGCGGCTGGGAGCACAGCAGGGCCCTCGCCCCTTCCCTTCCATGGGTCGGCCGCCTGCCATGGATCGTTAGCATCAGAGGCAGCACCAGGAGCAGAAGGCGGACTGTCTCCAAGCATAATCTGAGCCTCGATTTCCTCAGCCGTCGGCTCCTCCATCTTGGCAGACTTCTGGGCAGGAGACCTGTCGCTTCCGCCCCTGCGCGCAGGTTCAGGCGGAGCCAGAGAGAAAGTATGCCCCACCAGGAGCTCACAAAACCGATGATGTGGGCCGCGTGTGGCCCAAAGGGTAAGCGTCAGCAAGCGAGGCAAAGCCACCTTCCTACTTGCCGACGCAGAATCGTTGGTCACTGCACCACCCCGAGAAGATGGCAACTTGAACCAAAATTGCTACGGACCTCCTCCTCCTCCTCCTCCTCCGGCTCCTCCGGCTCCTCCTCCTCCTCCTCCTCCTCCTCCTCTTCCTCCTCCTCCTCCTCCTCCTCGTCCTCCTCTTCCTCCTCCTCCTCCTCCTCCCTCCTCCTCCTCCTCCTCCTCCTCCTCCTCCTCCTCCCCCTCCCCTTGGGAAGCCGCCCGATCCCGTCATCATGCCTCGCTCTGCTCCTGACGCAGCAGGAGCGCGACGCGCGCGCGGAAGCCTCGCAAGTGAAGCAGCGGGATGGGGTTCGTTCCCGAGGGTGCGTGCAGGGGGGGGGTCCCTGCCTGGCGGGGGGAGCGGTTTGAGCCCACAGAGGACAAGGAGGGAGCACGCAGAAGGCGCCTATCCGACGGCGCGGGGGGGAAACCAAACCACCTCTGGCAAGACACCCTTCCATGAAAACGCCCTGCGCTAGATTGCTCCCATCGTACGAAGGACCACATCCCAAAAATAATTTCGAGCACCCAGAAAAGTAACCAAACAGTGCCGAACGAGTAGCGCCTCATAGGGCCGGTCACGTGAAATCCCTCCAGTCTCGGTGCTTCCCTGGTGTTCGATACTCTTTTTCTGGTGATCAAAGCTAGAGTAGGCTGGAACATCATACAGTCGGACTTCATTGGGCAGGACACGCGAGAGGACAAAAGACCCTGCCGAGGGCCACACTGCCGTAGGAATGCAGGAGGCACGGGTCGCGAGACACAGGACACAAAGGTACCCTTGATTTGGCAGGGTCGACCTACTAATCCGGGCCGACTGTACTCGGGGGCGGCCAAGAGGGGGGTGTCCAAGAGGGGGGGGCGCAAATCATGGCCGGCGGCACGTGCGCGGCCCAGCGGGGGGGCCAGGGACGCAATGAAGCACGAAGAAGCGCCGTGAGATCTGGGGAAACATCATGGCCCCCGCCATGAGATCCCCCACCCCCTAGTCACCACCCCCCTCTTCTCCGCCCCCAACTGTACGCCATGGGGTCAAACCCCACGGGCGCAGACTGGCAAGACGGGCGGCCGCAGTGCCACCTCTCGAGGACGCAGCAAAGGAGGGGAGCCCGCGGGCGGAGCTGCCATTCGACTCGTGGCCAGGGCCCCCGACCCTTTCACCGTCGCGGCCGCGGGCGAGCGCGCCAGCAGCGTCAAGAATCGGGCGGGCCACGCGCGAACCGAATAGGGTCCCAGACCTCCGAAGCCATAATTTGTTCAACACGTCGACCCCCAGCGGTCTCGACCCCTGCCCGGGGACAGTTCTGCTCCATCCCGAGCCGCCTTCTGACGGCCCCGAGGCCCGGCGAGGGCCTCCCGCGGCCGAGAGCAGCGAAAGACCTCGCGTCGCGATGGTGTCCAGGACGCGTGGGGGTCTGGGGCGTGGGGCGGGTTCCATCGACCCCGCACACCTGCACACCACCACCTCCGTGCCTGGCTGGGGCCACATCCCGGGCCCTGGCATGGTGGACACGGCCTCCACGCCGAATCCGGGAGGACATCTATTTGCGAGGAGGGGGCTGGTCCATAACCACCGCCTGGGGGTCGATCTTCGGGGACCAGGCGGCGGATGTGGACACGGTTGGCCCTCGCCTGGCCCGAGAATGTCCAATCCGCTGCTCGCCGAGGTCCCCGAAGATCGATCCTCCAGGCAGTGTACTCCCCGCCGCTAACATTTAAGGGGAACAAGCACCGACATCAACATAACTACTCTGAGGTCCGCGCGGATTCCACAACTCGATGCTGGACCGCACTCCCTGGGGACCCCAACGCCGATTCGAGGAATCCGCGCGGACCTCCGAGCTTTTGTGCTCATGTCACCGTCTGCTCCCCCCCTCGGTACGCACACACACTTCGTGCACACTGCCGTTGGGGGGCCCGGCGACGGCACTGGCCGGCCACGGTGGTGGCGCGCAGAATGGCCAAAGATAGGCGCCTTCTGCGAAGGGACGGGACGGGGCAAGCGCCTCGCCCTGGGGGCGGCGGGCGGCGAGCGGCGGGCGGCGAGGTGGAGCAGGAGGAGCCAAGCAAGAGAGGCGTCGGACAAGTGATCCGCCGTCTTCGGCCTCCTGGGACCCCGAGTTCGGGCCGGGGGAGCGTCATGGGTTGATCCGGGATGGCCATCTGGCCAAGATGGACCCAGGAGCGTCGTCAGCGGAAGATGAGCGTGGTCAGCACAGGAGGAGGTGGACGGGTTCACATGGCTGCCGTTCTTTCATGCTCAGTCCCGCAACTGCAGCGACGACAACGACGACGGCGACAACCGAACCCATACCAAATACACCTGGAAGTTCCGTAGCGGTCGTCTTGAATTCGTCACTCGCGCGTCGCTCAAAAATCCCAAGCCCTGGATACCGATCGTCGGCTTGCCCGGTTCGCCAAATTGCCATCGACAGGAGATGATCAGGAGCTTCAGCCTGGAGTATGGAGAGCCCGAAGTCAGTCTGCTACCAGAGCTGCGGCCGAACACTTATTCGAACTCTGCAACTGTTCGAGAGACAATGCTGGCTTTCTCTCCTTAACTGGAGCTGTAGGCGAGCTGCGGCGCAGGTATCTTGAAGGGGCCCCAGGACACACAAATAAATACACACAAATACAAGGATCCCCCACATTTTTCCATACTTTGGGGGTCTCTGTCTTCCCCCCCACTTCCCATATTTTCCAATATTTTCTGGGGGTCGACGATTCATGGTGTCTGTGTGTGTTTTTCCCTTCCTGAAATGCTGGTTTGCTCTGCTTGCCTAGAGCTGTAGGCGAGCTGCGGTGCAGGCATCGGCCCGACCCTTGCGAGCGCGGCTGGCTGGGCGGGCGGGCCCACCCAACCACAGAGGGGCAGGCGGACGGGCGGGCCCGGACGCTGGCGATGGCTCACGCGCGGCCCCGTTTTGCTGGCCGCGGCGCGGGCCATGGCCATGGCTCGGCGCGGGAGGGCCCAGGTCGGGCTGCGAAGCGGCAAGGTGACACAGGAGAGGAGGGGGAGGAGGAGGAGGAGGAGGAGGAGGAGGAGGAGGAGGAGGAGGAGGAGGAGGAGGAGGAGGAAACGGAGGAAACGGAGGAGGAGGGAGTTGAAGGCGGAAGGAGGACGGAGGAAGCACGGGGGAGGCGAGGGCGGCCGCGGACAAGGGACTGCGTGGGCAGGCGAGGCGCCAAGAGCATGTCACGCCGGTGCTGCGGCCCAGGCATCGGGCAGGAGTCACGCGCAGCGGCGGCCCGGGGGCTGCTCGGTGCGATCCTGCCAGGGCGCAGGAGAGCGGCTGTCCGACGGACTGCGGGAGATACCGGACATCCCGTGGGTGCAAAATGCACGGAGCGAAGCTGGGCTGGCTGCGGACGCGGTCCGGGCGGGAAAGTGCAGCTGGCCAAAGAGCGACGATGTCCAGGACTGTGCCGGGTCCACTGAACCAGTACCTGGCGCAACCGAGCTCGAGCGGGACGGGAGCGATGCGGGGCTCACGCGCCCCTTGGAGAAGTTGCCTGCCAGGGCGGGAAAGAAGGATGACACTGGTGGCCGGACGGGCGGACGGACGGACGGACCCTTAGTTCCTGCAAAAATGTGTCTTCATTACGGGAATGCCCCTTTGGAAGACTACCGCCTGAGAGTAAACATTCGTGGCAAAATGCAACCCCTGGGACTGAAACGCAGCGAATCAACGTGACTGACACGTCCTGGCAATCTTACATCGCCCAAGGTCACCATTCCTGGGACTTCCAAACCGCAAATGATCGTGACTGTTGCGCCCTGAAAATCGTAAATCGTGCCAGAACACTATTCTTGGGACTTCAACCATACGGACCCTTGACACTGCTGCAATGATTCAAAACTAATGTCCGCAGCGCTGAGGCGAGAGCCATGTTTTGAACACGAACCGCCCTCCATCCTTGAAACTTCTGCAACCTGTTACGACGAATGTGCGCGGCGCTGAGGCGAAAACTGTATTTTGAAAAGGAACCGCCCTCCATCATTGAAACTGGAACGAACTGTTACGACGAAGGTTCACGGCGCTACGGCGAGAGTCACATTCTAAAAACGGCCCGCTCTCCATCCTTGAAACTGCTGCGAAGTGTTATGACAAATATGCGCGGCGCTAAGGCGAGAACCACACTTTGAGACCGACCCACCCACCGTCCCCGACGCGTCTACGAATGGCTTAGACATATGAGCGCGGCGCTGCGACGAGAGGAGGAGGAGGAGGAGGAGGAGGAGGAGGAGGAGGAGGAAGAGGAGGCAGCCTCGAGCGGAACGCCCGGCTGCCTCGGGCGCACCCTCTTTTTTTACGACTGGGGCCCCGTCACGCCGCTCCCCGGCGCCGCCACACGGATACGCGGTCCTGGGAGGATAAACAAGAGCGAAGAGGAGGAGGAGGAGGAGGAGGAGGAGGAGGATGAGGAGCTACAGTGGAGGCCTGTCCACAAGAAGACTTCCACAAGGAACCTAACCCAGAGACCCCAGGACGTCCACTGACTCTGGGTGTGGGAACGTCACGCTTGCCATGGCGAAACCATCGAAACTCAAGAAACCCAGGGCACCCTGGATGCAAGCAGGGCGTTCCTTGGCATGGGTCTCCACTGTACCGCTGACCGGGAACTCTCCCGGAGTGCGTTCTGACCCGAGCTCCGAGGAGAATCCAGCAGCGGCGAGGAGGCCCTCCCGGGAGACCCAGACGGGCTAAGACGAGGGGGAGGGTGGGCCAGAAGCAGAAAAACAGCACAAATATCTATTGTTGGCGCTCCGCGCGGACTTCTTGGATCCGCGCTGGACCCCTCTCCCTGGTGCGCGGAGCGCGCCAGGGGCGGCGGTGGAGGCGCCGCCAGAGGTGCCCAGCGCCGATCCAGAAAATCCGCGCGGGGCGCCAAAAATGTAAGGTCATGCTGCTTCTCCTCCTTCTTCTTCGACAAAACGAAGGGGTGGGTGGCGGTATCGTTACCTTTGCCTCCTCTGAGGTCCAGGGCCAGCGGCCAGCAGGGCAGCGGCTCGCTCGCCTCCTCCCAGAAGGCGGCCGCCACGCCCTCCTGGAAGGCTGCGGCGAACGAGCCGCCCGCGGCACCGTGCAGCCCAAAGGTGTGGCCGCGCCACTCGCCGACCTCGGGGGCTGCTGGGATCTTAGGTCGGGCATGCCCCTCTACAGGAAGAATATTCAAGAATGGATGTTTTGAACAAATCTGGTGACGATTTGTTCGTGCTCTTCCGTCAACGTTTGATGATGTTTTGACTCTGCTGCATTTGTCTTCTAGCATCCGCCTGTAGGAGGACATGCCCGACCTAGTGCTGGGAGGAGGGCCACAGAGGAGGACCAGAGCGAACCCAGGATGCATCGGCGACGCTGCAGCACACCTTCCCCCTCTCCGTACGTGCCTCAACGCTCTCCTCTTCACCGCAGAAAGCGCTCCCTTTGGACGACTAGCACACTTCGGCCCGCCATTTTGCGCACAGGCCGCGCCATCCGCAGACCACTCGCCGACCTCGGAGGCTGCCAGGAGGACGAGGGCCATCCCTTACCTCCTCGGGCTGTTGGAACAAGTTGGCCTGGCGAAACACGCAGCCCAAAGCAGCTGCGAGCAGCGCAGCGAAACACGCCAAGGCCCACTGTGGGGCCAGGAAGCGTGCGAGGGGTGCCCCGGAGTTGGCCAGGAGGGCGCAGGCCCCCCCCCCCCACCCTGGGGGCTTCGGTGGAGGAGGGCGCCTGTGCCCCCCCCCCTCCTGGAAGCGTCGGCTTCGGTGGAGCCCTGCCCCTGGCCACACGAAACATGCTATGGGGCGGGACCGCTTGTGCCCCCACCCTCTGTGAGCTTCGGCGGAGCCCCCCCTGCGGGGCCACGGGACCTGCGAGGGGGTGACGCAAGGAGCTGGGGGACCGCATATGCCACCCCCACCCTGGGGGCTTCGGTGGAGCTTCCATATGGGACGGCGAACCGTGTGAGGGCTGTGCCGACATGGGCTGGGGGACAGCATGTGCCCCCCCCCCTTGTGGGCTTCGGTGGAGCTCCCCATGGGGCCGCGAAACGTGTGAGGTGTTCAAACAACGTCGCAAGGCGTTTGGCCACTTTCGGCCTCTGGGGGCCCTCACCAGGCCCCATGACTGTCAGTTTGCTTGGCGACGGACCCAACCCAAACAAACTGCGAGTAGCGTAGGATATGACCTTCTCCTCACAGGCAATGCGCCGCAAAACACGACAAGAGGCGTGAGGGGCTTGCCGACAATACGCTGCCACTGCAGCCAGCCGTCAGGGAAGCTCCCTGCGGGGCAACGCAACGTCTGAGGGGCGTGCCGAGCTGGGCGGGGAGACCGCGTGCGATACTCGGCCGCTGAAGCTTCGGTGGAGCCCCCTTTTATGGGGCCACGAAACGCGTGAGGGGTGTGCAGGGATGCGCTGGGGCCCACCCTGGGGGCACTTGTGGAGCTCCCTGTGGGGCCACGAAACGTGTGAGTGAGGGGTCTGCCGGGATGGGCTGGGGGACCGCATGAGGCACCCCTACCTACCTTGAAGGCATCGGTGGAGCTCCCATCTGGGGCCACGAACCGTGTGAGCGAGGGGTGTGCCGAAATGGGCTGGAAGACCGCATGTGCCCCCCCTCGTGTGACCTTCGGTGGAACTCACCATGCGGCCACGAAGCGTGTGAGGTGTACGCCGACATGTGCACGCGGAGGGCAGAGGCAGGGATGAGAGGGGGGGAGAACAAGCTAGGTCACTCGCGCCATACCTGACATCCTATCTCTCCTCCCGTCATTTCCCATTGCGCTGAATTGATCTCTATCCGCGGACGCGTGTCATAGACGACCTGGAACTCCAAAACACGACCCTATGTTATGCGCAATCGGAAGAAGGATAGCTGCGCACATTGGAAGAGATGGCGTTTGAGCAGGAGGATGAGCAGACAGAAATGAAGGAGGACAAGGAAGGAGGAGGACGCGGACGAACAGCAGCAGCAGCAACAGGAACTGAAGTTGAAAGAGGAAACCTGTCCACTGACCCAGGTCAATCCAGACCCGGGTCAGTCAGGCTCTGCAGGATCCTGCAAGACCCTGCAGGACCCTGCATGATCCTGCGCCCAAACCCCCAAGCCCGGGTCAGTGCACCCCTGGCCCTGCAGGGTCCTGCAAGATCCGGGAAGCAGGAGGAGGAGGAGGCGGAGGAGGAGGAGAAGGAGGAGGAGGAGGGGAGGAGGAGGAGGAGGAGGAGGAGGAGGAGGAGGAGGAGGCGGGGGAGGAGGCGGAGGCGAAGGCGGAGGAGGCGGAGGAGGCGGAGGAGGCGGAGGAGGCGGAGGAGGAGGAGGAGGCGGAGGAGACTGACCCCCGTTGGCATGGACACCCGCCTTCCGAGGGCCCCGAAGGAGGAGCCCCTGGGAGGGCGCTCTGCCCAGGGAGGCTCCCCCCGGCTCTCCGCGCTGCTCCTGGGCTCCCCGGGGGGGGGGGGGGCCACTCCGGTGGGGGCCTCCCCCGGAGCTGTGCTGCAGCCGTCGTACTCGAGGACCACATCCCAGGCAGAAAGTCGAGCTTCCAGAAAAGTTTCGAATCAGTGTCGAACGAGAATACCCCCTCCCAGGGTCCGACACGTGAAAACCTTCTGGTTTCGGTACGTACTTTCCGGGTACTCGAAGTTCTTCCTCGTGATCAACGTTAAAGTGCACGGTTTCCCCCGAGGCCGTAGACGACTCGAGGAGGAGGAGGAGGAGGAGGAGGAGGAGGAGGAGGAGGAGGAGGAGGAGGAGGAGGAGGGGCGGAGGAGTAAGGCAGAGGAGGAGGAGGAGGAGGAGGAGGAGGAGGAGGAGGAGGAGGAGGAGGAGAGGAGGAGGCGGAGGAGGAGGTGAGGAGGAGGAGGAGGAGGTGAGGAGGAGGAGGAGGAGGAGGAGGAGGAGGAGGAGGAGGAGGAGGAGGAGGAGGAGGAGGGGTCGCCTAAGCCCTTCGGAGAAACCCTCCAGGCTAAAGTGGGCTGGATCATCATAACGCCCTGGAGAAGCTGGGGCCGCACTGGGCCGGCCAAGGCCGCCGCTAGCGGCAGCAATTATCGGGCCACAGACAGAAGAGCGACAAGAATCAAGGAGCCCAAGGACACACAAAGAAATACATACAGATCCCAGGATTCCCCATCTGTTTCTCATACTTTCTGGATTTTCGCATTCCCCCCAACTTCCAATATTTTCCAAAATTTTCTTGGGAGTCGACGATTGCTTGTATCCGTGTTCTTTCCTCTCCTAAAAGAGGGAGCCCAGAAACCATCGCGTCGTACAACATATCAGGACGGGTGGTCCTTCGCCGACTTCGGCCTCGGGGGGCCCTCGACGGGCCTCGGGAGCGTCAGAAAACGACTCGGGACGACAAAAGCCGGCCCTGGAGGAGGAGGAGGAGGAGGAGGAGGAGGAGGAGGAGGAGGAGGAGGAGGAGGAGGAGGAGGAGGATGGAGGGGAGGAGGAGAAGGAGGAGGAGGAGGAGGAGGAGGAGGAGGAGGAGATGGAGGAGGAGGAGGAGAAGGAGAAGGAGGAGGAGGAGGAGGAGGAGGAGGAGCCTGGCCTTCCGGGGACGCCGCATCGCCAAACATCCGGACCCCACACGTCTGGGAAAACGGGGCGCCGCCCTCGGATCCCGGCGCCTCAATACACCGCATATCGAGCCGCGCGCCCTCGCCGGGGCTCGGGCTCCTGGGGATCCGCACGGCTCGGTGCAGCTCGCAGAATGGCGCAGAATAGGATTGCAGGGGCCCTGGGACACACAAATAAATACACACAAATAACAGGAGTCCCAATCTTTTCCTACATTTCCTGGATTTTCCTCTTCCCCCCCACTTCCCATATTTTCCCATATTTTCCAGGGGATCGACGATTAATTGTGTCTGTGTGTTTTCCTCCCTCCTGAAGGATGGGGTGTGGGGCCCCGGTGGCGGTTCCCTCCACTGTTTCTCCGTGTTTTCCGCGCCGCCGGACCCCAGCGCACGCGAGATGCCACAGCGACCTTCCGCCGTGGCGCACGCGCAGGCCGCTGGCGCGGCACGCCACAAGCTGGAAGCGAGGGCGCCCGCGCGCGCGACCGCACGCGGGCAGCCTGCGCGCCAATGTCTCGGGGGCGCGGAGACATGGCTTAGCGATCCGTGGACCCAGAGATCCAACGCATTGACCAAAAATCAAGACGGAGGTTTTTGCGAAGTTCGGCCCCTGGGGGCTGTCGCCGGGCCTCGGGACCCTCCAAAGACGACCCAGGATGAAAAACCAGTCCTGGGAAATGGGTCGAGACTTCCAAGGACCTCGTATCGAAAAAGTCCAGGGATCGGATCTCAGGGGACCTGGCGCGCGGTCGCCAAACCCATGGCTCGGCGGAAGCGCCCTCCCCAAAAAAATGCGGCCGGTGCCGCCTGGCTCGGCGGCGGCTACCCGCGAGCTCCCATGGAGAAGCGGGGCCCGTCGCGAAACCGCGCCCCCCTCTGATCCCTGCTTGCGATCGCCCGGGCGTCGGCGAGGACGGCCCCGCCTTGCCGCGTCGCTCCCGTGCCCACGTCCACGGCCCCACCCCGCGGCCCCGCGGCACGCGGCGGCCCTGCGCCTTCCGCGCGGGTGCCCCGCGCAGAGCGGCCTCCGCGGGGCCATCCGCCCACAGAAGCGCGCCTCGGCCATCCGGGCCGCAATGGGGGGGGAGGCGCCGCGCCATGAGATGTGCACGACGTGGGCCCGAAGAGGTCTGGACCCCTTCCCCGGGACCGGCTTCTCTTCCCATCCTGAGCCGTTCTTTGACGGCCCCGATGCCCGTCAAGTGGTCCCCAAGGAAGGAACTTGCCGACGAACTTCTGCGTTTATCTAGCGTGTCACGGCGGCGGCCCCAGCGACACGGTATGCTCTGCGAGCGGATGGCGCGTCGCTCCGCTTAGCGGGATGGGAGGCTCGGAAAAGCTCGGTACGTTGAAGCCTGGGGACTGGGCAGAGGATAGCGCGTCGCACCGAAGCGTGGTGGGCTGGAACTGGCGGAACGACACGCTATCCGGTGCCCCAAAGGTCCCGACCGCAACCTCCCGTCAGTGACCTGTTCATGGGGAAATTAAAAAGTACCGATACCGCTACTCCCTGGACCCCTCCCGGGGTGCGATCTGACCAGAATTCC